GATTGTGGTTGTATTATTTGACACATAAATTATGATATTGTGCTGTGGATTATATATATATATATATATATATATATATATATATATATATATATATATATATATATATATATATTTGTGTGTGTGTGTGTGTGTGTACGTGTCTGCTGAGTCTGACGCAGTGTTGGAAAGTTGTGTGGTTGTGCCATACAGGTGTAAAGGTACAGAAGCAGGTAAAGAGGAAAGGAAAATACCGATAAAGGTTAAAAAGAAGACAGAGCTAAAAAGAAAAGGTGATAGGGGTGCGAGGTGGTGATGAACAGGTGATCTCATCATCTAGAATATGGATTTAGCAGCTGTTTAATCCTGACATGATCAAACCCAATGAATCCTGATAAGAATAATAAATGCCTTACCTGATGTTGGGCTATTACAGCCAGTCTGTCACTCCTCGCTCCTTGTAAAGTTTATTGTCCACGGAAAGCTTATCCACCGAGATGACAGTCCTCTTCCCATCCTGGATGAACATTTTGCGCAGGATTTCCTTAGGGAACTGGTCATTTACGCTGAAGTCTTTTCCTTTGAGCTCTCTTCCGTGACTTTTAACAAGATCCTTCTGTTTAAAATAGTCAAATTTAGCCACGATGGGACGAGGTCTTCTGCTGTCCACTCTTTTAGCTCCAAGGCGATGTACCCGGTGAAAGGTGATGTTTTTTACCGTTTCTTCGGGTATCTTCATTTGGGTCTGGAGAAAGTTTTTTATTGTTTGCTTGCAGTTCTCCACCCCTCCCGTCTGCTCCGGCAGGCCTGCGAACACCAAATTATCCCTCATGCTATGGGCCTGAAGGTCCAAAACCGTCTCCTTCAGAATCTTGTTGTCCAGGGTGATCTGCGTCATTCCCTCTTCCAGGGAAAAAACGGACTCCCACAGAGTTCTCAGCAGCGAGCCGCTCAACCTGCTCTTGGCTGAACTCCAAAGATGTTCGGAGGTTCTGAAACTCCTGGTGTAGAACCTCAAGCAGTTGAAGTCGCCCCTCAAATCCCAGAAGACATTTATCTATAGAATCTAATAATTCTAATATGTCCTTACGGGGAGATGAGGCCTCAGGCGAGTCCTGAGGACGGCTCCTCTTGGTCCCAGGTGTTTCGGGCTCAGCTGCTGATTTCTTCGGACCCATAACGAAAAACTCAAAAAGTCCGTCAATATAGTTTTGGAAACTTTCTACATTTTCTTCACTTACCTCCAGGTTGAGTGAGTTATACTTACCAGATTATTTTTTAAGTTGTCAGTAGATAAATTAGGCAAAAATGCGTCTTAATTGTGGATGTTTGTTAACGAGCTGCCATCTGCTTCAAACGCTGCGGTGTATCCGGTGCTCGGCCGTCAGCGTCAGCGCATGCTCACCCTAAAGCCCTCCATAGAACATTTTTCAAGCATAATATCAAGTTAAAATCTTCATATCTTCAAAAGTAATTTAAAAAATGTAACCAGACTGTGCCGTGCCAAATTTACAAATTGCACATACAATAACAACCATTGTCCAAGTCATTTCAGAAAAAGGCTCCAGCAGGCCTTGGGGTCCACTTTGTTAGCACTAGGGGCTTCACAGGATGTACATGTTGCACTCCTTCTCCCTGTTGCCAGCCACGACCTCACATAACTTTGTGCATTAAATTGATCCAATGGTGGTCCGTTGCATTAGAGGAAAATCAGATTTGAAAGCCTTTTGATGTGAAGTGAGTTTCTTTTATCAGTGAGAGTGTCATTCATTGAACTGAAAGCTCGTTCACATTCACTTGTTGATACTGCAATGGTGTAGACAGCTTTAAGAAGAGGCTTCAGGGCTGCTGGTATCTTGGAAGCTTTGAGGTCTTTATACTCCCTAAATCTTAAGACACTTTCCCTTTCCTCAATTTTGAATCTCTCACATAAACGTCTGACCATCGCCGTACTGAATATCTGGTGTTGCAGGCCAGGAGTCAGACTGGAGGACCTGGATATCTTTGAGGAGTAGACTGTCTGTCTTTACAGACGAGGTTCTGCTGACATGTGAGGAAGTTGTTGGAGTCATCCTGCACTCCACATTTACAGCCAGGCTACGGAAAAACTGCGGGATTGATTTTTGGAACCCTTTGATTTTCATGCAGCTTTACATTTCTGAAGATTTTTTTCTCTTCTGCTTCGATTGCCACTTGTGTTTGTGGGCCAGGTGTGGATACCACTGACTCAAAGACACGGATTTGCAGGGCTAGCAACCTGTCGGCTTGGTCCAATGTCACGTCTTGTCTCTGGAGCTTTCTTGAGAGGTCACTGAGTTCTGTGAGAGCATCATACATGACACTAAGATTGGCCACAATGGAGACAGAAGTAAGAATGTCATTAAGTTCTTTGTATTTTGCTCTCTTGCTTGAATTCCTGTTGGCATGTCCTATCACAAAAAGACGCTGTCCAACACTATAAGCACTCTTTGTTCATTCTCTTTGATTTTTTGGGGATGAATGGTAGAGGGAGTACGGCTGATCTAAAAAAATTTTGAAGTGATTGATTCCCCCAGCTTCCTTCAAAACATCACATACTGCCTGTTCCAGTCTGTGGTTGGAACAATGCCAGACAAACAAGTTAGGGAATTTGCAACAAAGCTGTGCAGCGACCCCTACTTTCCTCCCAAGCATCACTGATGCTCCATCACAAGCGAAGGCCAACAAATGGTCCTGTAAAAAATAAGGGTCAAAGCCACCCACACATATGATACATCAATTCAACCTGCTTGGTCCCAGGGGTCTTGTATTAACTTGATATTGTGTTCTGCGTTACCATGGCAACGTGCTTATTAACAACATTTTAGACACAACGGTATCAACATACGTTAATATAGAAATGTTATTCAAAGTTTAAAAGAGTCATGTGACATTGTACATTGCTTTATTAAAGCAGACTCCTGTCATCTGTTACCATGGCAACACAAGGAACTACAAATCACTTTAACCAAGTCTCATAGGAATGAATATAAAAAGCAGAATATTGAGCCAATAACAGACTCCTGTTTTTGATCTTTTTAAATTGTTTGTACTTAAAACTAGAAACAAGTTCGATTTGATTGACCGTCAGAAGGTGGGAAAGTGCCCCGCTCCCTCCCAGCTCCCTGATTGGTTGAGAGAGGTCAATCATCTTCTGGCTAAATGGAATTACACACCCACACATGTGAGACATCAAATCGATCGGCTTGGCCTAAGGAATCCATCCATCTACATATAAATCCATACATGCTTCTATCCAACCATCCATCAATCCATCCATTCATCCATCCATCCATCCACCCATCCAATAAACCATCTAACGTCCATCCAACAGTCCATCCATCATTTCATTCATCCAACAATTCATCAATTCCATACCAAGTTTGAACATATGTTAATCTATCAGTTTCAGATATCAGTAAATGTTTTTAACTTCACAGTTCAGCCAATTGTAAAAATGTACCTATGTAAACTATTCTCATTCAAATGCCAGCTGTTTAACATTTCAACTTTTGAGTTTTTAATCATTGTTCAAAGATTTATGTTTTCTGCTGTTAAGCATTTTTTGTCCATTCTCCACCTATATTCTGAGCTTTATTACACTTGTTGGTGATTTTGCTTCTAAATCTTTAAATACATTCATCTAATTTTGACAGTTTAGCTTAGTTTCAGCTTCACTTCAGCTATTCAGCAGCTTCTGTAATGAGTTTCCAAATTTAGCATATGCTGCTAATTTCACAGTTCAGCTAAATGTAAATATTAAACTGTTAAACTTGTTCTACTGAAATATCAGGTGTTTAGACATTTTAGCTGTCCAGATTTTTATACAATGCTCACAGATTTCAGTTTTCTGCTGTTTAGGATTATTTTTCTCTATTATTCACTTACTTTTTGTGCTTTACTTGGTTGTTGGTGCTTTTTGCTTCTACATCTTTCAATACATTCAGCTCATTTTGACAGTTTTGCTTAGTTTCAGCTTCACTTCAGCTATTCAGCAGATTCAGCTTACAGTTTAAGCTATACAGCATTCAAACAGCATTTCTGCAAGAAGTGCAATTTATCTAGTTATACAATGATCTCTGTTCATTTTTTCAGGCATAGACAGAGGAAGACTCTCTAAACCTGGTGGGTTGCCAGTTTGAACCAAGTTAGTGTTATTCATTGTGCCCTTGGGCAGGACCCCTCACCCTCCTTGTCTGCTGGTGGTCAGTGGTAGCGGTGGTGCCTGTCAGTGTGTCCCAGGGCAGCTGTAGCTACCATGTAGCTCATCACCACCCATGTGTTTGTGTGTGTGTGGATGAATGACATGATGCATTGTAAAGTGCCTTGGGGAGTTGTAGAACCCTAGAATGTGCCACACAAATACATGACCAAAAACCTCATTCCTTTTTATGACGTTCAGTCGTGTTTTTAACCCTCCCACTGTCCTAATGGGTATGACCCCGCGAGGAAAGTTGACCATTGAGCAGGATGGATGATTTATCCCTTGAGGTCCACCTGGCAGAAGTGAGGAGGGAGCATCACCTCACCACCTGCCACATGGATCCAAGGGATAAACCATCAATCCTGCTCAATGGTCAACTTTCCTCGCGGGGTCACACCCATTAGGGTTAAACTAATTCTAAAAGATTTCAATAAAAAAAAGCAAACATTACAAAACCTTTTTACAATGTTTTATATTATATAAAACTCAGCTGTCTCAACTATGACTGCAGAGGTAAAATCAACCCTAAACACAAAGACTGACATTACTTTGAATCTGAACTGGTGGATAGGTGAAAGCCGACCTGGATGTTCTGATCCTGTTTCTGCTACTCCTGATGCGTCAGTCAGCTCCTCTGGACACAAGTCTCATCTTTTATTTCATGCTCAGTTATTTTTATTTCACATCCATTACATCTGAGATTCAGGCAATAACACCGACATTAAAACTAGAAACCATCATTTGGAGTAAATTTAGTTCCTGGTTTGGTCTTTGGTGGTGGTGGTGGTGGTGGTTCCAGTCCAGTTCCAGGTAAAGACCGGCTGGTGGACAGCGCCTCTCCAGTCTACCAGGCTGTCCAGGAGGCAGAGAAGGACCAGGAAGTGGTGGAGTGGGGCCGCCGCAGCACCAGCTCTCAGTCCAAGTCCTTCCAGATCCTGGCCCACATGACCCAGAGCGAGTCCTGTGAGTGTCCTCAGCTGGACTAGAACCAGAACTCTGCTTCAGACTAACTGAACTCAGATCAGTAAACTCCCAGATTCTGTTTCCTGTTTCAGCTCTTCTGCAGCAGCAAGAGGAGGAGATGAGGAGGAGCAGGTAGGCAGCAGTAAACTCCGCCCCCTCACCTGTTTGCTGTGCCCCACCCCTTTGCACACCCTCCCTCACCTCACACCCCTCCTCCAGCTGACCTATAAAATTCGTCAGCAGAACAATTTCCCCTGAATATTAACATTTTTGAGGAAGAGGAGTAAAAAAACATACATTTTAAGGAGAAACCCCAACATGTGTTCAGGTTCATGTGGGAACTGGTTTACCTGGTGCTGTTATACTGGGGTACAGAAAATCTCATCAGAAACCCAAATCCTCTATCATTTATATGCAGAATAATTGTTTTTCCCTTTCTCTATTTGAATAAAACCCGCTCATGATTTCATCTGAAAGAAGTTTTAGTCACTGGAAACCAGTTTGTGCAGCAGCACATTTTAAACCTGCTCATCTGTAATGAGCTTCAGCTTCCAGCAGGAGGAGCCACAGGACTGAAACACCTCCATCTACCCGTCACTGTAAAAATGTAACACAAGAGAAAACAGAACAAATGTAGAAAAGGCCGACTCAGAAACAATCTGTCATTAAATATTGTCCTCAGTGTGTGACCGAATCATTACCAGGAAGGAACTTTACCGATGTGGACGATTCAAATAAATAAAAACAAATCATTTTATTATTTATTTAATACAATGGACATTTAATGTGTGTGTGTGTGTGTGTGTGTGTGTGTGTGTGTGTGTGTTTGTGCGTGCGTGCGTGTGTGTTTGTGCGTGGGTGTGTGTGTGTGTGTGTGCGTGCGTGCGTGCGCGCGTAAGTAAGAGTGGAGAGTTTTAGGAATAGCCTTGATGATACTAAAATCTTGCTCGTTGAAAACATTCAAAAAGCATATTAAAATAAGTCTTTAGGTAAATACCAAGCACAGCACAGTGCAGCATAGTGTCCACAGTTACCAAATATGTTTTCATCAACATAATAATCTGGGATCCTGAATCCATTTTATATTGAAAGACTTTGTCAGGCGACTCATTTAAACACTGGTCTCATTCTAACTCAACAGACAAAACAAACAGTTTAAACATAACCAAGAAATAAATGCATGATTACATTAATACACTTGAAGGTTTTACGAACAATCACTATTTATCTATAACTATTCCTTTTGAAGGGCATTCCCTTCACAGGTTAAATTGTCCCAGTTCCCCATCAAACTGGCCAACCGCGATGAGCCATCGTCCTTACGTCATCACCCTCTTACTACGCAAACTACTTGCAGCAATTTTAAAACCATTCTCATAAAATATACCATTATTGTACAAAAGACTCTGCAAGTTATTTAGGTTAGCAGTAGTTTAAGTTATAACATTAAGTTTTGATGTTTATAAGTTGTGATTTTTATACAAGGCCTTTTTGGGCCCTAAGGGTTGCCATAGATTGGGCTGTGATCATGTAATTCCGTAAACGAGTCCCGCACGGTGTTGTAACGTTGCCGACATGGTGTTGAGAGATTATCACATGGCATGGACAGACATTACCGCATGGAGTACCGTTGGATGTGTGGATATGCTTATTCCCTTCGAGTTGTGTGTTAGTGCCAAGAAACCACTGACACCTCCACAAACACGTCTCAGCAGAAGAGTACCTGCATCCAGCTGGAGCCGCCATGGTGTTGTTCTGTAAATGATGCTGCATGATGCTGTTCATATTTAAAATTGTATCAGAGCTGCTCTTTTATGTTTCCTTGGATCATTTTATTGTTTAAAACAGATTATTGTTATTAATGATACTGAGTTTAATTCCTGATCCAAACAACCTGCTGGTGCTCATGAGCGGAGAATAAAGGCCGGTCCTAGAGAACCACTGATTGCTTCTGTTTGTTTCTGTTGTCGGACTGGTTCTCCAGCTGTTTGTGTTAAATCTCATCACTGTCCACCATCAGCCTCCGTCCATCACGGAGCTGCTGAGTCTGAGAGGACCAGAACCCTTTTAACCCCTCCCCCCTCTGCCCGCCCTGCCAGTGATGGATGGAGCTTTCTATTCTCGCTGCACTTATTTAATCATCCCTCCATTACCCGCCATCGATCTCTGCTGCCACCCCCTGAACCTCCACCTCCCCTCCGCCCCCCGTCAGACTCCATTCGCCGTCCGATGACTCAACATGAATTGATGGGAGCAGAGGCTGAGCTTCTATCCACCAATAAAGAGACAGTGTGGTTTCTTTGTTCCTGGATGTGAAGCAGCAGCTTAGATTTATTCAGAGACACACAATTTCAGTTAGAAAAAATGTAAATTAAAACAGTGTTCTGCTTCAATAGAGATCTAAATATTAGTTTAAACAAAAGTGTAATAAAATAATAACTATTAAAAAAAATAATAAGCATGCACATGAGAATTGAAGTCTCCTGGGACCTGTAGGGGTGTGGTTGGGAGGAACAGCACGCCTGATTTGAATTTGTTTTGTTATTGGACTCGTCATGGATTGTCTATAATGAACACCATGTTCAGACACAAAGGTGTCCATGTGCTCTTGGCAGCAGCATACCTAAAACCGCAGCTTGATGATCGACTTTGTTGTTGTCTCATTTGATCTGTGGCCACATGTCTTGGACACTCGGGTGAAGAGAGGGGCGGAGCTGTCAACTGACCACTACCTGGTGGAGTTTTTGAACTGTGGGACTCCAGAGGCAGCTGATAGGTACTGGCAGTCCAAGTGGAATGCAACTCGAGTGGCCGTGGAGGCAAAAACCCAGGTGTGGGAGAAATGGTAAATGGTACATTGCCTATATTTGATATAGGGTCTTCTAGAGCCCTAGAAGCCCCCAAGGTGCTTTACAACACAACCAGTCATTCACACATTCACACCCTGGTGGGGTGATCGACGTTGTAGCCACAGCTGCCCTGAGGCGCACTGACAGAGGTGAGGCTGCCGAGCACTGGCACCACTGGTCCCTCCGACCCCCACCAGCATGTAAGGGGGGTTAAGTGTGTGTGTCTGTGCATGTGTGTGTGTGTGTGTGTGTGTGTGTGTGTGTGTGTGTGTGTGTGTGTGTGTGTGTGTGTGTGTGTGTGTGTGTGTGTGTGTGTGTGACCCGGAGGACAGAGGGCAGGAGAACGTGCAGCTAATTAATTAAATAATTTGGTTCTGTACCTTTCTCTTCAGCACAGCCAACAAAGGTTTATGATGGGTCAGTCCTCCTGCATGCTCAGATCATTCCCTTCCCTTGCTTCAAAAATTGTTCCAAAATGAAAGTTGAACCCACATCTTTTTTATCTGTGAATTGAATGCCGTTCGGCGAGTCTCAAATAAAAAATTTGGGCATCTTACTGTAAAAATATATATCATTAATGTAAAAAAGAAACTCTAAATCAACCATGTACACTTCAAGAATCAAAGCTGGGTCTTCTGCACGAAAGCCCAAATTCTTACAAGGCGAGCTAAACCGCCAGTGGTGTCTCCTGTATCTGTAACATTTATATTCTTGATGATAGCTGAAACAACGTTCAAAGAACGGTTCAGAGGGCTATGCCTGAGCGTGAACGCGCATAAAGCAGCCTGCTCGACCCGAGCAGCTCTCTTTTTCTGTGATTTTACAGAAATATAGGCAATCACAATAAAAATGCCAGGGCTCATTCTACAGGACCAGGGCATTGCAGGAGAAATTTATTATTTCTATACATGTTTTGGCTGTCAAACTTCCATAAGGCCCCTTTAAGCACCAGTTTAGAACCAATGAACAGGTGATTTGGCTGTTGAAAACAAAATGCTAGGTCAGGCTCTGGCTCTGAACTAGCACTTGAAACAGCTCTGTCAAAAAGGCTAGAGGGGTCCGAAAGGCCCGATTTGAGCAGATTTAACTGCCGTCTGCTTCATGGGTTAGGGTTGTTCACACCTACCCTCATCAGTTTCCTCAGGAAATAAAGCCACTGGTGAGCCTTCGTAATGATGGTTTAATGCCATCTGAAGGTCTTAGGGGGAGATTACTGAGATTCTTCTGAAAACTTGCAAAACACCATCAGGTTGTAAAATGACATCAGCTGCTTTCTACAGATGATCATAAAAATCTGACCTGCTGTAAAACATGACTGCTCAACCACACACCCGAGCTGTCAAATCAGCAGCAAGAGACCTCGCTGGAACTGGAGCTCTTCAGCTCATCTGTCTGTTGTCTGTAAGACCTCTTGCGTCACACAGGAACAGGTGTCTGATGAAATCAGGGCCGGATTATCATTGCAGGGGCCCCTGGGCACAATGTGCTTCCCCCCCCCCCCCCCCCCCCCCCCCCCCACACACACACACACACACACACACAACATTACTGTCACCCAGTAGCACATTTTCGACATTTCATAACATTGTCATTATTAAAAATTGCTTACTTATGTTGATGCAAAAGCATTTACCTTCAGGTCAAAATAGTTTTGTAACCTAATCACAAACACTCATACCTGAGGATTTTCCTGTTGTGCCTCACTCAAATGTCTTTCTTCCTCTGTCCTCTCTCTTTTCTCCTCTTTTTCTGTCTCTCTCTTCCTCACAGTGCTCCTGTCTTCTCTTCTGTCTGTACTAACAAAAATGTTTCCAATCTGTGGGACAGTGGGGACAAGTGAGTCTGCTGTAAAAGAGATCCCACTGTCAAACTACAACAGAAAGTAATGCAGGGTTATTTAAAAGATTATGCAGTTATTGAAAAGTTTGCAAAGAAGAAATATCTGCATGTTTTTTGTTTGTCTCCTGTCTCCTTCCTCCTCTTGTCTCCTGTCTCATTACTCCTCTTGACTCCTGTTTCCATCCTCCTCTTGTCTCCTGTCTCCTTCCTCCACTTGTCGCCTGTCTCCTTCCTCCTCTTGTCTCCTGTTTCCTTCCTCCTCTTGTCTCCTGTCTCTTTCCTCCTCTTGTCTCCTGTCTCCTTCCTCCTCTTGACTCCTGTTTCCTTCCTCCTCTTGTCTCCTGTCTCCTTCCTCCTCTTGTCTCCTTCCTCCTTCCTCCTCTTGTCTCCTGTCTCCTTCCTCCTCTTGTCTCCTGTCTCCTTCCTCCCCTTGTCTCCTGTCTC